TCAAAGGCACACAAGGAGGGCTGGAGTTTGCCTTCTTGTGCTTATGCAGAGATTCCAGACTAATTCCCTGTTTAGCTCATCCCAGTCTCTTTCCAATATGAATACTGTAGGGCTATAATAGCTGGGCAAATTTCTGTAGGAAGTTTATATAGAAGGAAATTATTATTTAACAGAAACAGAATAGAATTCTATTGTATAAAATTTAATTTGAATATATCACAGAATAGTTTGCTATAGTTGTATCCAACCATACTTTTATCCAAGAAGTTCAAAGTCTTTTTCTAACTTTAAATTGTAAGTTAGGATCAGAACTTCATTTTGGTAGAGATTTGAACCTAGATTTTCAATACTATATCCAAATCCAGTATTTCTGCATTGAAAGCACCATAGTGTCAATAAAAAAATAACAATTATGCTGCTTTGTAAAGAAAATAATGTCTTTTCTTTGTCTCCAGTTTTAGATTTTCGTTTAATAATATTATAGGAACTTATTTGAACTTTTTGTTTGCTGCTATCTGGACTTTGTTTTTATGACATAGACTGAGTCATTTTCTACACCTTTTAGGTTTGCAAAGAGAAACATGTTGCATTTTTCTATATTAAAAATAGAACTACATTCAGCAATACTCTCAGAAAAATAGACATATGGATGTAGAAATGTAGTTAGATGCAAATACCAGGATATTTGAAGAAATTATTCTCGAACCATTAGTGTGAATGTTCAAAAACCTGGGGAAAATCCTAAAGTTCACAAAATCTTTATTACTCAAGCACTTATAAGCTGAAACATAAGGGTGTAATAGGCTTTGTAAATTTTTGTTGTTCTTTGAAACTCTTTGAAGCTCCTTCAGTCACATTACTGAGATTTCCTGGCACTTTTATTTCAGCTCATTATTGTGTATCCATTTAGGGATTTTAGTCAAGGTATTTTGGGGATACACCATGATGCTAGATGCTGTGGCCCTGCCATTTGCAGTCTTCTAATGTCCTGGATATATTTTATTATTTATTATATAGTGTTTATTCCATATATCATTTGTACTAATTACAGAGGCTGCCTTTATCTTTGTTCATTTTGTCACATTTGTGAGAACAATTGAAATCTTTTTAATCAACCAAGAACAGAAAAAGGTGATGGAAAAACATGAAAATGGATGGTAATAAGAGAAGGCTCATTTTCCTAGTATTTCCAAAGCCTTTGAGATCATTTTCTCATTATCCAATCCTGTCTAATGGAGTGGGAAGAGGACATGAGTAGCCTCAGATCTGAATAATTTATTTTTTACCTCACAGTGAGTCAAACTGAGGTAAATATTAAAATACGTATTGAAGAAATGTCTGTTTTCTTTTCCTAGTTACATGTCTGATTGAATAGTTTTTCTCAGTCAATAATATACCGGTAACAATATATCTTTGTTGTACCCTGGTCAGTTTCATCACTAGTAGAATGTTCCAAATGGACAATTATACCTGTGAAAGGTCTTAACAGTGACTCGATTCCCAACCATCCAATATTGAATTCATCTTTATATCCCACTAAAAAGGAAAAAGGACACATTGAGAGAGAGAGAGAGAGAGAGAGAATAAATTATTCCAATTTCTTATTCAATATTGGAAATCTAGCGCAAAGCTAAATAGTTTTTGGGTTCAACTGTGAATGTTCTTTTGTGGCAGGGCTGAAAATATCCTAAAAAGAATAATTAATCATAATGTTTGCCTATTTCAGTATGGATCACTATAAATATAGCTTCTATGCTTAAGACAGCTTGCTATTTTGGATCATTTGTTTTCCCAGTATATTCTAATGTTCCCCTCTTTGATCTAGTTCAGACACTGCTCTAAGCCAATATTTCTTTAACTATGGTTTACTGAATAATTTTCAATTGGATTTATGTAAAACACTACAGTAAGGCATAAACTGTGGTTTTTAAATCATAATGCTTGTAGGCATACATTATCTAAGTCATAAACCATTAGGAAAATCTGATGAATGAAACTGGTCTCTAAGAAACAAGCTGCAGTTTGGTTGAGAGAGAAGCATGATAAATAATACAAGTAGTCCTTGACTTACAACCACAATTGAGCCCAAAATATTTGTTGTGAAGCAAGACAGGTGAATTTTGCCCATTTTTATGACCTTTCTTGCCACAGTTGTTGAGTGAACCACCGCAGTTGTTAAGTTAGTAACATGGTTATTAAGTGAATCTGGTTTTTCCGTTGATTTTGCTTGTCAGAAGGTTGCAAAAGATGATCATGTGACCAGAGACACTGCAACTGTCATAAATACATGCCAGTTGTAAAGCATTAAAATTTGAATCATGTGACCATGGGTATGCTGCTATGGTCATAAGTCACTTTTTTGAGTACAGGTACAGGTAGATCGCAATGGAGCCCAGAATTTATGTTGCTAAGTGAGAAATTTGTTAAGTGAGTTTTGCCCTGTTTTATGACCTTTCTTGCCACAGTTGTTAAGTGAATCACTGCAGTTGTTAAATTAGTAACATGGTTGTTAAATGAATCTGGCTTCCCCATTGACTTTGCCTGTCAGAAAGTTGCAAAAGGTGATCACATGACACTGGGACACTAAACCTTCATAAATATGAGTCAGTTGCCAAGCATCTGAATTTTGATCACATGACCATGGGGATGTGGCAACGATCATGAAAAATGGTCAGAAGTCATTTTTTTCAATGCCGTTGTAAGTTTGAATGGTCTTAATAAAGACGAACAACTAAGATGATTAAAAGCCTGGAGACTAAAACATATGAAGAACGATTGCAGGATTTGGGAATGGCCAATCTAGAGAAAAGAAGGACTAGGGGGAACAAGATAGCAATATTTCAATATTTGAGAGGCTGCCACAAAGAGGAGAAGGTCAACTTATTTTCCAAAGCACCAAAGGACAAGACAAGAAACAAGGGATGGAAACTAATCAAGGAGCGAAGCAACCTGGAATTAAGGAGAAACTTCCTAACAGTGAAAACAATTAGCCAGTGGAACAGCTTACTTTCAGACATTGTGGGTGCTTCATCACTCAAAGTTTTAAAGAAGAAACAGGACAGCCACTTGTCTGAAATGGTATAGGATCTCCTGCTTGAGCAGGAGTAGAAGGCTGGACTAGAAGACCTCCAAGGTCCCTTCCAGCTGTATTCTGATCAACTAAATGAAATGTTGTAAGTCAAGGACTATCTATAATTTCAGTCATTAAACAAATGGTTTTAAGTCAAGGCCTACCAGTAGTAGAGTCCTAAGTCTAGAAGATAAGGTTGTAATTTAGAGATGGGAGTCTGTAATATTAATCCAATAAGTAGTGCACTCAAATAGAAATATTGTAAAGGAAGTGGGCTTGAAAAATGCTGGAAGAAGTGTAAAAATGTATGCACAGATTATCTTTAGTTATTTTTCTTTCCATACTAATGGCATTTTGCTAATATGAGGCCCTATGAATTTATATGCTAAACAATCAGAAGATAAACTGCTTTAAAAGTTTAAACTATGAATTTTAATGCTAAAATCTAAGCTAGTTTTTTATGTTTATTGTCTTTTATGTTTATTATGTTTAAAAGCACAATCATAACTCAATTGAAATGACCACTGCTGCATAGAAAGCCCTTAAATTTTATTCATGCTTCAGACTATAATAGGATCCTATTACTGAATTAGAACTTTGCATTTATATGACAGACTATTTTTTTATTTCTGCAATTTTCAATTGGTGAATGAAATCTTTCTGCATCATACATTCTTAAATTGTATTCTACTCTGAAAATAAAGCTAAATCTCAATACTAATCTTTCAAAAGTGACATAGTTAACCTGCACAAAATATATATTAAAAATGTTGCTTTAAGGAAAGGACTAGAATTATGAAGATCATTTTAATTTTATGTTAGAATTTAATCAGAATAAAAAAACAATATAATAAATTCCATGACATAAATTGAATATATTGCTTTTCTTTATACCAACACTTCCAAACTCTAAACTAAAAGTCTTTTTATCCAGACTGCTTCTATACGAGGTCCCTGGAAAGTTTGGGATTATGTTCATATATTGTACATAGTTAATATGTGTTCATATGCTAACATTTAGCCCATTGTTTATTTGTGTGTTATACTTTAACCAACATTTATGATCTGTATTATCAAAACCGCATATACCTATACTTTTGAGTTTCCAGAATCCAAATTTTGAAGTCTACAATAAACTTTGTTACAAATACTGGTTTTCTGCAATCCAACTGATATGGGTTTCTTTGATATAATTAACTCTGGCAGATACTGTATTGTTCACTACTGATTGTAAAAATATAGAGATGCTTATGATTTTGGCATTTTAAATATCAGCATATAGTTGAAAAAATTAAAGACAATTTGAAATTATTCAAAATTCAGTTAATGTTTATTAGAAAGGCTTAAGGAATGGGCTTCAGGGCTGGAGAGCTCCACCATTGGTAATTATTCCTTGGCTTTTTTGTGTGTATTGAACTGTATTCACCGATTTTCCTTAAATACAGGACGTTAAGTTCTGGTCAAATGAATCTTTCCTCTTAAGTTTTTTTCTCCAGGAATTCACCACTGGAACTGCAGGCTTCTAAGGGAAAAACTTTTAAAGTGACCAATGTTATAATGTGTTGAGTTTGGCAGTTACACTGTAATCTAGATCTTTATTTTGTATATGAGGTATTTTGTATACTAACCAAGGGCTTATTGGCACAAAGTTGATAATATAAAATATTTGTATAATGGTACACATTGTAATGTATTGCTATTTAGTTATAACTTTTTCAGCGCATTGAGATGGATCTCTATTGGGCGCTATTTTTCTAAATAAAAGTACCAGCACTTTAAAACTACTTGTATCATCTAAGCGAGAGTTTCCACCTTTTGCAAAGTAAATATATTTGTTACAACGCTACTCCACGGAAAACACGGTATTACCGATTGATGCCCATTGTTTATTATAAAGCGTCGAAATACCAGAAGCGTGCCTGATACTAACAACAAGGCAGCCGGCAGCCCGTTTCAGTAAATACGCGGTTGGGAAAATATCTTTTGTGCCTTGTGAGCACAAATCAATTTCTTCCTTAGAGCAAGACCTCAGCCAGGGTGGAGGGGACCGTTCGCTTTCTCTTAGCGGCTAACGAGCCACGCGCTAGCGCAGACCAGACGAATTGGAATGCCAACGGCTGGTCGCGCGCTTGCTCCAAGGAAGACGCAGAGACCCTTCCCCGCCTCTTGGAACATTGGTGGGAGTACGCACTTGCCCATTGGCGTGGCCGCCCCGCCCCCGCATCACTCCAACGGTTCTCCCGCTTGAAAACCGATACTGAGAGAGAGAGAGAGAGAGAGAGAGAAGGGTATGGGTAGCGTGTGCGCGATAGGGAGGCCTACGGCTTTCTGAAGTCATTATTTGGCGGGAAATGCAAACTGTGGCGCCCGCTTTGAATGTTGAGAGTGTGAAGTGTTGAGGGTGTGAAGTGGCGTATGCAGTACGTGGTAACATGAATTCCTTAAACTTGAGTCTTGCTGTCACCGGCGCCTTTGCCGACGTTATTTCTCCGCGCTATGAAAATCAGTTTGATAACAATAACCACGGGAAAGGCCTGTTTCATGACAAATTTCACATCATCCCTAAGGACAGACCGATAATTCTGTTGGTAACGTGTATGAGCTTCGCCTTAGGAGGTAGGAAGTCAGAGATCTCTACTGGTTCTTGATGAAGTGTCCCAAAATGTCCTTTAAACATGACCTTGGGCCCTTCGGATCCTAAAAAGCAATAACTGAACTTTTGGCTTGGATGTACATTGTTAATGGATAATGCACATTAAGGGGTGGTCGACGGATAAAATACATTAATAATCACATAAAATGTGTTCAGATGTTTAGGAACTGCAACACCCAGGGATTGAACAAAGCATTTGGCAAAATCAAATGAGCCAAATTAAGGCTTAATGGGATACAGTGTGCCAATTCAATCTTCTAATGAATGGGTGTCTATGGAGATTCTCAGTCATCCAGGTCATAGTTATCCCAACAATGCTTTTTCACAAGGCAACTGGACTTTATTGTTTTTCTTTTAAGATGTTTTGCTTCTCATCCAAGAAGCTTCTTCAGCTCTGACTGGATGGTGGGCAATGGAAGGATTTATAGTGAATGGGTGTACTATTTTAGATTTCTGGTGTAGATGTGGAAGGCAATGTGGACAAGAAACAATGGCTGGAAACTGATCAAAGAGAGACACAACCTGGAATTAAGGAGAAACTTCCTAACAGTAAGGACAATTAACCAGTGGAACAGCTTGCCCTCAAAAATCGTGAGCACTCCATCACTGGAGATTTTTAAGAAGAGACTGGATGGTCACTTGTCTGAGATGGTATAGGTCAGGGATGTCAAACTGCTGGCCCGTGGGCTGGATGCATCATGGCGAAACTGTGCCCACCCCATTGTCGGCAATGGAAAAAAAGTCACGACATGTCACGTGACGTTGCCAGTTTGACACCCCTGGTATAGGTTCTGCTTGAGCAAGGGGCTAGACTAGAAGACCTCCATGGTTCCTTTCAGCTCTATTCTATTATTAATTAGCATTAATTAGTATTGTTATAATAAATGCAGGGGCTAGTAAAGTCTGCAGAAAATTGAAATAAAATGACGTACAAGGTGACAATCATATACATGCCATTGAAATAATAGTTGTAGTTGGATTTTAGATTTTGGCTGTGGTTTGCTCTCCAAGCTTGTTTCAATTTATTTTCTGAATGTTTCGTTACCAGACTAGGTAACAGCAGCAGCAGGATTTTCTTGTTTTATTCTTCTTAGCTTATAAATGTCTTGGGTGATACTGGCTAAGCTAAGGAGAATAAGACAAGAAAATCCTGCTGATGATGTTTACCTAGTCTAGTAATAAAACATTCAGAAAATAAATTGAAACAATCTTGGAGAGCAAACCACTGCCAAAATATACATGCCATTTCTACTTGTGTCCTGATGTAAATGCACAATGCCATCATGCATATTTTATCATTAACTTTCCTTCACCACTTCTATGGATGACCATAAGAGAGGTAGGGAGATCCACATGTGTTGTTTTGTATTACTTGAAAGAAAGATGGAGTATAAAAGCTATGTGTTAACATAGCAATTTATTGCTTTAGTGGAACAGTTTAATGTACATTTTGCTTTTGTGATATATGAATCTGTTCATAACTGTCATCCAAACTGTATTGCCTTTCTATTAAAATTGATGTTAAAATTTTGTAAATTATTATGATTTGTACAAAGCAATTCTTAGAACACTGAAACTTAGTATTAGAGTGGTCTGGTCTTTTGGATGTCAGTTTTTCAGAAGTCTCTATTTGTAATACATTATACCAGTGAAACTGGGGCTTGGAGCTTCAGATATAATTAGAATAATATTTGTAGAGTATTAGTACAGTTACTGTGTGTAATTGCAGTCACTCAGTTTGGCAGCATGCAAAGTGTAAAGAGAGCTGATTTGTAGAGAAATAAAATGGAACTTTCTCAGTGAAGATTGCATACTTCCACATTTCATCAAAATTAATAAAAATATAGAAAATAGTTTAATAATGATTATAGCTACAGTGTATAAGCATGTTATTTTAAAAATTAATGTAGCAGATGTTTTCATTTTCTAGGCAACCTATTTAAAAATAGATTTCAGCACAGTTGATAGAGTGATTATGTTCCATCAGATCATTGTTGACTCTTTGTGACCAGATGGATACATCATTTTCAGTGATAATCACTCCCTAACCTGATCTTTCAGGATTTCATGGATTCATTGTGTGAATTCAGCTCTTATGGGTTGTTAAATAATATGGTATGGTATAGTGCAGTGATGGCGAACCTTTTAGAGACTGAGTGCCCAAACTGCAACCCAAAACTCACTTATGTATCATTGGGTGCCGGGTGGGTGTGGCCCATTGGGTGGGCGTGGCCCATTGGATGGGCATGGCTGCGGTGGTAACGGCAGACTAGGTGGGACTAAAAAGTTCAATCAATCAATCAAACTTTGCGAGATCTTTTTTTTCCCGTGAGAAGTTGAAATTGATTGATTGATTGAATGAACCTTTTCTTTTTCTTTTTTTGCACACGGCAGCGGAAGCCTAAAGTGAAAAGATTTTATAAAACCCAGCTGAAGGCCTAGGACTGGGGAGATGGTGCACGTGCCCACAGAGAGGGCTCTGCGTGCCATCTGTGGCACACGTGCCATAGGTTCGCCACCATAGGTATAGTAAATCTGTTGTGCTTTATGCAGGAAACCATGTAATACATTGTTTAATGTAATGAATAAATACATTCTGTGAAGATAACCCCTTAGGTTATCTTTTAGCATGCTGAATGAATTATAATTTAGGATGTAATGCAGTGTGAAACAGCCTTATAATAGGCAGGGTGCTTCCATATGTGGAAAGCCTGTTCGATGTACAATAATTATGCCATGACTTTGTTCTATAATGGCACACAAAATATGCCAGCAATGGATTTGTAATGGAATTTTACATGGGATCTTACATTTTTAATGGCTCTTTTTAAGAAAAAGATTCAACAGGTTCTGGTAGTTCTCAATTTACAATCGGTTGCTTAGCGACTGTTCGAAGTTATGATAGACCTTCCCCAAAGGTAATATGACCTAGTTTTAAAGTTAGCAGCTACTATACTTCCCTGCCATTGTTCCCTTATGACTGACTGCTGGAAATAGCCAGTTTGAGAGCAAGCTTGAGTAGCTGGTTTGGAAGCAGGTTGAGGCCTGGGAAATTTTGAGGGGCAGGGGGAAGTCTTGGGTAACTGGATAGGAAGTAGACCTTAGCCTACACTGCTTCTGTGTGCTAGTTGCTTCTACTGACCAGCTATAGGCTCCTTGTGTGGCTGAATGGTTGATTTGGGAGCAGGCCAAGGTCTGGGGTGACCATGAGGGAAGGGAGTGGAGCACTGGATGCCTTGGGAAGCCCAGAGCAGGCATGTCTGGGCCTGCACTAGGCTTCTGAAGGCTTCCTCCACCCCTGAGGCACTCTGTGCTCCAGTTAACGTCTTGCACATTTGTTTAAATCAGTGGTTCTCAACCTTTCTAATGCTATGACCCCATAATACAGTTCCCCATGTTGTGGTGACCCCCAAGTGGGTGTGGCCACCAATAAGAGGGAGTAGGACAGCTAGGGAAAAGGGAAAAAAATGGCGGACAGCGTGGTTTGGCGACCCCCGTGAAATGGTCATTCGACCCCAAATGGGGTCCCAACCCACAGGTTGAGAACCACTGGTTTAAATGATTGCATTGGAGAGAGCAGGATTGGGGAGGTTGTTAAGTGAGATGCTTCACAAAGGCTGTTGCAAAATGCAACTGTTATGGGCAGACTCCATTATGGTCATAAGTCAAAGACTACTTGTATATGCATTATAATAATATGGTCATAGGAGAAAATTAGGTGAAATAGAAAAAAATATTGTTTTTGTTCTTATTTTTCAAAAAAGATTGTAAATTTTTGCTTGTCTGCTATTGGTATATTGAGAAACTTCTGAGAAATTCTTTAATATATTCATATTGGGCTTTTTATTTTCCATGAAGAGAATTCAGAGTTCTTGATTGTTTTATTTCTAGACTTGCTAGTTATTGTGTTTTAGTATATCAAATATAATTATTTATCAAAAATATAAAATAAGAGCAATAGTTTAGCTTTCTAAGTAGCAATGTAGTTTGCTTACAACATGAAAAATATTTTTCTTCATCTTCCTTCCTGCATCATGATTTTGTAAGAAAAATAAATGAATTAGATTTTTTTTTAAAAAATTGGGATTTTATAAACAGAAAAATATGAGTTGTAACATACTTTGATTCTCTGACTGAAGTGTAGTAATATTTCTGAAGGTGAAATTCATTTGTGATGTTGTACCTGTGCTAATCAGCTGCAATACACCCTGTTTCTTTTTGGGTCTATTTTGGAGAGCTTTAAAATGTTTCTTGATTCAGAAGCCAAATAACTGATTTTTTATATGCTATTCAGATCTTCATCAGAGGTCTTTAGTTTCCACTGCCATGTGAGGTGAAATGGGTAAATACTCAAGAAACAATTGCCTTAATGATAGCATCTTCATTGTACAAGAGTTTCTGATTTACTGGGCACCAGGCAAAAACCTTTCCAAAATTGTTGCTTTGTGCATTGTAGCTTAGACTAGCACTGTTTAACTACACTAATTACATACATACTTGTTACTTCAATTACTTCAGAAA